GAGTTTGAAAAATATTGGGATGAATGTTGCTTGGTTTTATCTGTTGCTGTTGCACTTGATCCTAGGTACAAAATCAGTTTGGTCGAGTATTACTACAATAAGATACATTCTTTCTCTTGCTACTCCACATATTGAAAATGTTCGCAATGTTGTCTTTGATATCTTTAATGAGTATAAAGATTGTTTATCTCATTCAATAGTAGAATCAAGCCAAGAAGTTCATGGTTCTTCAAATGAGGTACATTCCAATGATGATGAATTAAGTGGATTTGATTCTTGGTATGAGAAGAAATCGAATTTAGTTGCTACACATAAAACCAAGTTAGAGATGTATTTAGAAGAACCTCTTTTTCCTAGAAGAGAATCATTTAATATTCTAAATTGGTGGAAAGATAATAGTGCCAAACATCCTACTTTAGCTAAGATTGCACGAGACAGTTTAGCTATTCCAACAACTAGTGTTGCATCCGAGGCTGCATTTAGTGTTGGAGAAAGAATAATTGATGAATGTCGTTCGTCCATGCTACCTAAAACTGTAGAGGCTTTGGTGACTACACAAGATTGGCTACCATCAAGGAAACAAAAAAAATATTTAACTCGATGTCTAAGTAAAATGCAATTCACATTGTATTTATTTTGAGTATTAAGTATTGTTTGTTGTATTGGATTTTGATTATTAAGTATTGTTTGTTGTATTGTATTTTGAGTTTTAGTAATGTAACTATTGTTTTAGTAGACATTTTATCTTTTTTATTGAAAACTATTATTTAATGACACATATCAAAATTATGTAATTTTATTATCGTAAGAGTGTCATGTATTTGTTGATTCGGTGGATACGAGTATGTATTTGATTATTCAAAACTCTGAGACATAATGGATCGGGGCGGATCATGTTTTCAAACTTTTAAAAGGGTTTGGATCAATGATGATTCTCTCCAAACTCGTCCCATTGACAGGTCTACATAAAAACTACCTATGAAAAATTTCCTTAACGAGTCTCCTAGTTTATTTATTTATTTTATTTTTTTTCAAATTAAATTTTTTTTATTCTTTTGAATTACGTTTTTTATAACTTTTTTCCCAAATTTTTTACCAAGTCTTTCAACAACTTAATTTTTTATAAATTTATAAAAATAATTAATTTTTACCACTTTAAACGTACAAAACAAATATGTAAAAAAATAAATATTGAAAAATGAATTTAGAAAAAAAAAAAAAAAAAAGAGTTCTAAAAGACCCATATATAAGAAGACTTATAGAAAGAAAAAAAAGGTTTTAACATAAAATTGAGAAAATTTTGTAAAAAAAAATGTAAAATAGTTGAAAAGCACTACAGAAATATTTATAAAAATGTTATAAAAACTAGAAAAACTAAATTATATATATATATATATATATATATATATATATATATATATATATATATATATATATATATATATATATATATATATATATATATAGAGAGAGAGAGAGAGAGAGAGAGAGAGAAGTTCAATAATAAACCATTATTAACCAAGGAACTAATCCAAAGTGTCAAAATGTAAAGCGATTAACAACAAAAGGAAGAGTTGTAGACTTTTGCAATAGACGCACATGCACCGGATTATAACAAAATTCACTTCCTTTTTTTTCGTTTAAAATTTTTTTAGGACATGTTTTTTATCGAAAATAAACCGAGTATACCGTTGTTTATGATTTTTCGTTCTCTTTCCAAAGAGATCGATGATGACATAGAAAAAATGATTTGTTTTGAAAAAAACTCACTTCATTTTTTTTGTTGAAAAGTTAAAGGTCCATTTTTTTTATAGGAAAAAACTAATAAATATATCAAAATTCATGTTTTTTTTTAACATAGATCCATATTCATGTAAAAAAATATTATTTCAGTTCAGATTCATATGTGAACCTGTTCAGATTCACATTGTGAACCTTTTCAGATTCACAGTGTGCATAATAGTAAGTAAGATTCACAGTGTGAATTTGAAATGATCGAGCTTTTTCACATTGTGAATGTTTTAAAATTGAAATATTTACAGTATATATTCACAGTGTGAATCTACACTGATCGGATTTTTTTTTTTTTTTGGAACATTCTTTAATTCACAGAGTGCATAATAGTAAGTTAGATTCACAATGTGAATTTGAACTGATCGAGCCTTTTCACATTGTGAATGTTGAAAATTGAAATATTTACAGTTTAAATCCACAATATGAGTCTACACTATTCGAGGGTTTTTTTTTTTTTTTTTTTTTTTTTTTTTTTTTTTTTTTTTTTGTTGATGTTTATTAATAGAGTACAAAAAAATTAATATTTTTTGTATAATTAGTTTTTTTTTATAAAAGTAAACTTAAATATTGAAAAAAAAAACTAACAAAATGAAGTTGATTTTTTTCAAAAAAAAAAAATTCATTTTTTATATATTAACATGAATCTCTATGAAAAGAGGATGAAAAATCAAGACAACGGTATATTCGTTTTTTTTTTTTTTTTTTTTTTTTGATAAAAATGTGGCGTATAAAAAAATTTAAATGAAAAAAATGGGTGAGTTTTTTTTGGTAAAGATGTGAATTTTTTGATATAATCCGGTGTATGTGCATCCAATATAAAATTGTACATCTATTTCCTTGACCGTTGATCATTATGATTTTCGACGCTCACATTGGTTTATTGGTTTCTTATTAATTATGGTTCTATATTAAACCTCGTTATATATATATATATATATATATATATATATATATATATATATATATATATATATATATATATATATATATATATATATATATTAACATTGTGAATGTGAAAAATATTTTTTTCACATTGGTTTATTGGTTCTTATTAATTATGGTTCTAGAGCTTATTCTTTATCGAAAAAAAATCTAAAAATATCTAATTTCATATATTAACATTGTGAATGTGAAAAATATTTTTCGGATTCACGTTGTGTATTTTCAAAGATTCACATTGTAAATTTGATGTAAAAAAAAAATCGAATTTTATATCATTGGAAAAATGATAAAAAGTTATAAATTTCTATATTTCTAGTTTTTTTTTTTGATAAAAAAATCTAAAAATTGAAAAAAAGATTGGTTTATTGGTTTCTTGATTAATGATGGTTCTCTATTAAACTTCAAAAATATATATATATATATATATATATATATATATATATATATATATATATATATATATATATATATATATATATATATATATATATATATATATATATATATATATATATAAACGATAACAATTTTAAATAAAGATATATTTGGTAAGTTATAAAAAGGCCCTAAAGGCTTATTAATAAGACATCTCGATTTCATTTATTTTTTTAAAGTTATCTTATAATTTATGTTAGGGGTTTCACCAAAATTTTATTACAATAAGTTTTTGAAAAATCAGATGACTTATACCGTTATACACGTAAAAAACAAACTAAATTCGAATATTTTTGTACTTGAGTATTTTTTTTTAAATTGGTATTGAGAATTAAATTTTCATTTAAATATATCTCACTTTTCTTTATCTCTAAATTTCTCATTTTAAAGTCTCGTTTTTAGGTGGTATATTTTTTATATGAAAAAAAAAATCAAAATTGTATTTCACATACAATCAATATTATATATATATATATATATATATATATATATATATATATATATATATATATATATATATATATATATATATATATATATATATATATATATATACTAAATTGTTGACCATTATGACTCAATATAGCCAACACCTAACATATCATCATAAACATCAAAATCTTTTTGAAGATTTTGGAAATTAATAGATCATTCAATGTGTTGACCAGAAGTGTAATTTATAAAATTATAAATTGACTTATTGAACATAAAGACTATGCATAATATTATTTTATTGTTGTTTCAAGATATTTTCTATCTTATTCCATGTTTACTGTTTCATGTTTCATGTTTGCTTTCCTAAATTTCGCGTGTTAATTTTTTTTTTCTTGTCTTTGTTATGTTGTAATTTGAGGGCACAGAAAAAGATTATACCGTATTATATTCTTTTGTAAAAAAAAAATAGCATTGATTAATAACCAAGTATATAGTATAATTTTATTATAGTTTAATGATTAATCATAACCGATTTTCTATTCATCAACCAATAATTTTTTAAAGTCAATAAACCATGTTAAGACTTAAAAATAAAAATTCAAGATAAAAACTTTTCTTCCAATCAAAGTCAAAAAGGTATGATAGAAAATCATTGAAGTAGAATTATGTGTAAAAGTTTCAAACTTAATTATGGACTTTGATTTCAATGACGGGGAAGAAAGTTTATTTCATATTTGACTTTTGTTAAGTACCGTCATTATAATTTGTAATTGTTTATTTTTATTTATATTTATTTATTTATTTATTTATTATTATTATTATTATTATTATTATTATTATTATTATTATTATTGTTACTCCATTTTTAACAATGAAATCATGAGAATCTATTAATTGGATATTTATTATTATTATTATTATTATTATTATTATTATTATTATTGTTATTGTTACTCCATTTTTAACAATGAAATCATGAGAATCTATTAATTGGATATTGATTGATTTTATCTATGTGACTTTTATACAATCAACTTTCACTTTGTTCTCTCCATTACGCAAGAACATTGTCCGTTTTATTTCCACTTTGTTTACATTTGGAAATGTCGAAGTCATAATCATACAAGCCCTGGTTAAAATAAATTCCACAAATGATCCTTATGGTTTTGAAATTTCCAACTTCTTTTTTTTCCTCAGAATGTCCATATTGTTTGGTTTTGTTGCATCTTTAGCACATAAAAGACTTAAAAATGCTATATATTCCTCTTCAGTTTCAATTTTGACTTTCAAGATCTTTAGGAGTTATTTTTATTTTGAATAGCGACATCAAAACATATATTAACAGAATAACATAGCGAAGTGCTAGATTAGATGAAAAAATACAAAGAAAGTTAAAGGGAATACATAAGCCAAGAATTCCAAACTACACCGGAGTTGGAATCCCGGTTTTTCAACCAAGAAAATGAAAGCAAAACAACATTATCAAACAACAAACTTTTCTTGATCTTATCTCCGTCAAACGTAATAGAATTTCGGAATCTCCAAAGCATCCATAACATGGTAATAACAATGACTTCCAATCTATGTCTTCTCCTGCCTCTTTGATCATCCACCCAAGATAGCCACTCCTTAATAGAAGCAACATCTGGAAATGAGATGTTGCACCATCTGGCTACTAGAGTCCACAGACTACACGCTACCTCACAACGAAAGAGAATATGATCCAAAGTTACCTACATTACACACCGCACAAAGGATAAAGGACAAATCCATCCCACGTTCTGAAAGAGTGAATCTAGTAGGTAATCTATCTTGAGCAGCACGCCACAAAAAGATATTGACTCTGATTGGGAGAATTTTACACCATCTAGTAGTCTCCACCCTATCGTGAAGGTTGACGTTATCAATGAAATTCCGAGTAAGCTTAACTGAAAAAATCCCATCCAGATCCAAAGGCCACCAAAACCTGTCAATTCTATCCAAAATCTTAACACATGCCAATAAATTAGACAACTCCTGTAAATCACTCTCCTCACGACCTCCCCTAATGTTTCTCATCCATGACCAATTTCAATGATCACCATCCCATTTATCACAAACTGGACAATCTTGATTAGAGTCTAACTGGAAGTGTCTATTAAATCTAAAACGAAGAAGTTGAGAACCAATCCACACCTCCTCCCAAAATTTAATTGTTTCTCCATTCCCAAGTCTTTTCTCTAAGGTATTAAGTGGAAGGATATTATTTTCATGAAGCTTTAAAGAGGAATCCACCAATCTTTGGGAGTTATTGACATTGTATTCCATATTAATTCCATATTTTACTGTAACGTCCCAAAAATACCAATAAAAAATTTCATAATTAAACAATTAACTTCATATAATCGTTTATTTCAAAACCAATCAGAGTGAATTGTATTTTCCAAACATTTGAGTAAACAAATATAATCAGTGCGGAAAATCCATCAGGGGATGTGCAATCAAGTCGGACCCTTCCCTTTGAAACTGAAAGTACCTGAAAAATGTTAATCCACAAACCATAAGCACGAAGCTTAGTGAGTTTCCCAAAATCCCACATGCCATACAAATGAGCGAACCCAACAAGTCAATGTGCCTAGCCCAACATATACAAAGGGGCCCATATCAACATATAATCAATGAGCCCAATCCAAGATATAATAAAATGGATCCAACCCAAGATATAATGAATGGGGCCAACTCAAGATATAATAAGATGGGCCCAACCCAACATACACATGTAAGAGTCACAAAGACAGCTAGCATCCTATATAGTATAGTGACAAGATTCACCTCAATCTGCAGACCGACAATCACACACACTCGAGCTGCTAATATGGGAACTCCTCGCACAAAACGTATACACATTAAAACCAAAATCAATAATTAAGGTAATAATCCACATTCAAATCATCTTAACTTATAGCTACCCTACTTAGGATAAAAGTCTATTTCTCTCTCTTCCAATACTAAATCCCAATACAGTTGACTAAGAGTCAAACTGGTAAAAAGTCAACAGGCAACCCTTAGTTTACATACGCTCAGCGTAGCATAGATCTCTAAGCTCATCGTAGAGGACCTTCATATGCTCAGCATGTAGGATGCTATGCCTAATGCAACCTCAGAAGTCCAAAACTCTGTTAAGCTCTTAATACATCAACCTAATCCCTTAAACTTTAAAATATGGACCTTTGTTGTCTTAATGGATAAAGTTCTCAACTTTACACATTAAGACACTCCCATCAAGCAAGATCTAAACTTTATGCATTAAAATGACCAAAAATGCTAACATAACTTGCATGGCTTAAAGAACAAGCACTAAAATGCAACTTTCCAAGTCCAACAAGTCTCAAGAGTATTCTATATGGCTTAAAAGGTGTTAGAGTTGCCTCGACTCCCAAAACATAAGCTTAAGGGACCAAAACGTGACAAATATGATAAATAATTATATCTGTGAAACTAACGATCAAGATAGAAGCTTTTTACTCACAATGGTCCATAAATGAGGTGACCTTGTTGGATCTATACTTGAACCCTTCTTCCAAGAACCTTACAAACACCTTGATCTTCAAGATTCACCCACCAGATGAAGAAGATAAGCTCAAAAATCATGCCAAGGTTCACTATAAGCAAGAGGAGGCTAGGGTCTATCAAGAAATGATATAACGTGATGGAGAATGGTCATGGGAAGGATTCCAAGACATTAGAGCCTTTAAATAGGGCTTACAACCCTATAGTTAGGGTTTTAGACAGTAGAGGCTACGCCTTACATAGCATAACCTATGCTCCACGTAGGACATTAAACTCATGTCCAAAATTCGGCACCTATGCCCAACGCTTCTTTCCTATGCCTAACGTTGCTTTCATACACCCCACGTAGTAAAAAATTCTCAATTTTCTATTTACCTTCAAAAATCCATAACTTATTCATTTCAACTCCATTTATGATGTTCTTTATATGTATATAAAGGTATTGATAGGCCCTACAATCCTCTCTAGTTATCGTTGGCTTAACACATGTTGAAATAAAACCATAATCCATGCAAGAAACCCGACATATAATGTTTCTCATTTACCCTTTGGTTCCAACACAAATCAAGGGCATAGGTCTCATGATCAATTTTATCAACATTAAATAAGGTCTAAACTTTATTTTCTCAAAGCCCAAAACCTTTACATGATTGATTTATGATCCACAAGCTTGAATTAAGAAACATCCTGGAAGAAGGTGTTACAACTCTCCCACATTTAAATTGGATTTCATTCTCAAAACCTGCCTCGGTCAGGATATTTGAAAACAATACAAACTAATTCCATAAGTTCCTTCCAACTAATTTGAATTCAAGGCATACATGAAGAAACTCGAGAGACCACCCGGAACACCATAACTACCAATAACAACCCAATAACTTGAAAAGACTCGGTTGCACATATGCCTCTCCTTCCTTAACTGTAGGACCTAAATCACAACAAACCCATTCAAACCGAGGAAACTCTCAAAATTGGAACTATAGCCCAATTCCAACAATAAACTCCCAAAACCGGGAACTCATCGATCTAAACTATAGAAACTATGCTCTAATACATATGATCATTCTCTTATTATACTTACCCCTAGTCTATGACTATGATCACCACCAAACCATGCTTAACGAATACCCGAAACATCTCATTAGTGAATTTTCGACCAATCTCAACATAGGAAATAACCCCCAAGGGGCCTCAATACACACTTGACTTCCTAACAAGTCATCACTAACCCACTGTTCCCATGAGCATAACCATTTTCAATCCAAAAATCTCACATAACATCAAAATTTGTATAATAAATTCGGCGTACTACCAGCTGAAAATTATCCAAGGGACCTTCCTAAAATTCCATCAATGATGACTTAACTCATGTGAAACCATTCTCATAAAATGAACAAGAACCTTTGAAGAAGAAACTTATCAAGGGATTTCTGATAAATAATCATGAATTTTTCTAACAAGTTACCATCCGACGAATACCCGGCCTAAAGTTGTCGGCAATAAAGCCCCCAGTAGCAACACCAACACATTCCATCTAACCCTTATTGAGAGGAGCTAATTTCTTAACCATGATTTGAAGACTCCAAGGTAATGCCTGATAATCCTGGAGAAGAATTCCATACCACACATTAACCATGCTTGACCAAAAGCTCTAAGATCCGATTTTCCAAGATCTTCCCAACCTCGTGCCACCTCCGGGTCAACTAAACAATACAGTTGACGGCTAACCGTCGTCAACGCCAGCCTCGTATATCGATGCAAGATCGAACTCTGAACCAACACTAAATAACAAATACTAAACTAGTCTATACAAATACTCTGGTCTAACATTTCCCACAACTGATCAAAGGAAATATCTCATCAAATAAAGGTGGTTATGTTTCAATCTATGTAAATGATGCGGTCCTTCCACAGTCTTATAATCACTTCTGTTACTATAGCCCATCTGTAGTATTTCCTAACATGGTCAAATCATTCTCTTCGATATGTGAATGTTATGGTCCAACCATAGTCTTATAGTCACTTCCGACCTGTTTTAGTCATGTGAATGTTACGGCCCAAATCGCGATTATAGTTGGCTGCTGAATATTATTCCTTGCATAAGATTCACTTCAGACACAACCAAAACTAGCTATCCTCTTTTCCTTGAATATGAAACTCTGGGATGACCTGTACTTGCCTAATATATCCATATAACCCAAGAGATTCCTCCCCACTTGGATTGGATAGACTCTGTTGACTTCATATTCACTAGAATTTCCAAGAAAATCAAACAACCTCACTATCTGGTTCCTAGCATCCACGCCTGACATCACCAACATAAGTAAATATGAATTCTTCGATCAACACTCAAGAGCTTCAACTTATAACTACAACCTATAACAACAAGATCCTAAGAGTTCCAACTTGTGATTACAATCCCTTATCAATAAGCAACCCCAAACATAAAACCTTCCTAACTCATATCAATATCTCAATCTTAGATAAACCGAACATATACCACTAATGTACAACTCATCTGATAAAATTCACCGATCGGAGGAAGATTCCAAAATGAACCAGAATGTTGATAGAACCCTGATCGGGTCAACCCGAATGTTAACCACGCCAACACGACTTGCCAAAGCTAGACTCTACGTAGATCCTAAAATCACATTTGAAAAATTGAAAAACACCTCCCTGACATTTAAACTTCCAATAACCAAGAACAATTGTCAAGCTTGGACATACTAGAGACAATGGTTCCTTAAACAAACAATCAAGAGCATACATAGATAGAGACCAAAATATATGTCTTATAGAACTTAACGAAAGGTTGATGCATCAATTGCACCTTCCACTATTATTGCTTGGAAACCCTCGAATGACTACCAGATGTTGATGATGAATGAAATGAACAATCGGTCGACAATGAATCGACAAATAATTGAATGATCCAATATACTACTAAACTAAGCCCTTGAGGAACTACACATACCAACTCTAAAGCTGTTTAACATATCAACAACTGCCCAACCTAAACTATAGATAGAAATTTATACAACAGGCTAACAAATCCCTTAACAACTGATATTCAAGTTGAGCGGTTCAATCGAATCTCACTCAATATCCCAAAGCATTTCCACAAGGAACTACTAGCCATAACGAGATTCTTGCCCATCAGCTTCCTGCTGAGTGGACAACATATGCGTTGTTGAAGACATAAGCCTGATGGTAACTTGCTCTACAAACACAATCTGACACATCCTTATATTCTTCGTGACCATGGAGGACTTCGGCGAATCATTGATAAACATCATGGAAATACTTCCTAACCACAAGTACTTTTGTCCTCTTATGCAACAATAACCCTACACCAAAACCTTACACACTTGAATCGTATATTCCCTCGACTAATCACAGCGAACCCACATAATCAAGCAGATTGATAATCTTCTAAGCATAAAAAACTAGTTCTTCCTAACTTTCGGTTCAAACTACTATTAACTGATGTGTACAATCCCAAAGCC